ATTTTTATATAAAATAGGCTGCTAAATCAAAAATGCCCTCAGCAACAGTAGTAAACAGCAGTAATATACTGGATAATGTTCAGCCAGTGCCACTAACATGCTGCTGGTTATTTAATATTTTACCATACTTCCTGTGTCAGTGTCATCCTTCCGAGTTTGGTCATTTCAGTAATGGCATGTGTGCAAATACCTCTGTAAATAAAAAAAAAAATGGCTTCATAAACCAGGAGAAGTTGGAGTAGCATTAGCTGATAATGCTAACGTTTACATAACCTTGTGTTGGCTGTTGTCAGTATCTTCGCTGCCATCATGCATGTTGTCTTCTTACTACTTACATATTTTATGAAGCAGTTGAACAGGTTGAAACCAGCTAATGCAGTGTAAACCAAAGCTCCAGGCTCCAAATCAACACTTCACAAATCTGTGGGTGACATCACAGACACTGTGTCAGTCTCAGTTTTTTTTCCAGTCAAGGTGGGATAACCTGCATAAACAAAAGCAACAAGTTTGATATGGCATTACTCTAGATGGATATACCTGTGACTCAATCTGAAGAAGCACAGCTAGTATTTCTTAGTCCTTATTGTGAGTAAACAATCCTGGAATAATAAATGATGAATAACACATTGTTCTGTCATACACATAGTCAGTGATGCAGTCTAATGCTAAAGCAAGCTGAAATCCTGGAATGAATAAAGGATGGTAATACACACTGACCACATAATGTATACGTCTCTCAGTGCTGCCATAAAACAACAGACTCAGTGCTGAGAATGAGTGTTGCAGATTAATCATAGCTTGGCATGCTTGTCAAGTGAGTGCAGTAACCTGTGTTGAACCTGTAGAGGCCAGTGCAGCACTAGTTTTCTGCCCTGTGTGATTAGTGTTTTCTTACTGTTTCCAAATTCTCCCTCTGATGTAGGATGGTTCTTCTACAGCCCGGTGACCATAACAAGATAATGAATTTCATGCAAGGTGAACCAAAAGTCACGAAAACATGGAACTCCATCATGGACAAGACCAAGACCACAGTGAGGGTTGTCTGGGCCTGACTGTAATGTACTTTATGCATGATGAGTGTATGATGCCAAGCAGGACACAGACTCATCTTTTCTTCCAGAGGGGGTAGCTGTTTGCAAAGAGGAGCACACCGCAGAGGGTCCCTGTGAGGCAACAGGTTCCCTCTCATTCAATATCACCGCAATAAGATCACTGCTGACTACATAAAGGGTTGTTGGAGGCTCTGGAGCCGAGGTTCATTGTATAATGAGAAGGAGCGCATCCGCACACTCCAGTGTAATATTCAGTAACTGAAGAGAGCCTTGGGTTTGAAACATTCTTCAAGAATATTATATTGTTAAACTGTGGAATGACTATGACACGTCTAGGAGCAAAAGCCCTGCATGTTATTTAAGCACAGTGAGTTAAAACAAAACACACACAGAAACACAAGTCTAACAACAAATAAAGTAAATAACCAAATATATTACAATAACAAATACATGGCTACATTATGACAAATAGTGCACTGATGTGTATCATAGCAATCCTTTTTTATGGCTCTACCAGCAGAGTGATAAGTAACATCTGGGCCAACATGGGAACTCTAATCCAACATAGAGTGTGGATGCTTGAACCAAGCCTGACAGGACCCAATGGGACTCATTGGTACCTGAGGGTCTGGGCCATGTTTGGACAGAAATTTGGAAATTATGTTCTGGTCCAGGTCAGGTTTTGACATGTAGGTCAAACTTTAGGCTAGACGGATGGAGCGCTCAAATGTCTGCTTTGTTTCATGATAAAGGGGAAAACACAGTATAAGCTCAACTGCGTTGGGCTTGTGTCATGTTTGGACAAGACATACTATAAGCTGTGACGGCCCTGGTGCCTTGCTCTGTGTGTGTGTGATCATGTGTTCTTGTTTGCAGGTCTTGCCATGAGGTGGCCAGCTGATGACTGAGAGCACCTGGCCATGCTGTCAAGCCCAGAAAAACCCTGCCTACCTTTGGTTCACTGTGCCTGTCTCCACATCATGCACCTTGGTTTGTTTGGTTTGAGTTAATCTTCGGTTTTTGTTTTGCACCTTATAGCTGCTCATGTATTCATAAATTTCTTGCACTACTGATGCTGATGTCCACACACATTTTGCTTTTTTTGTGCATCTCCCTCCTTTTTGTTGTGGCCTTTAAGCAGGGTCATAACAAAGTGGGGGCTCATCTGGGATTAGGTTTGTTTGAGAAAGTGTCAGGTTTGCTCGGTCGCTCTGGCCTCCCTCACCTTTCCTACTGTCTCTTGCCCATTTACACTAATCACGTTCACCTGTTCCTCACTCCCTTATCACCAGCTGCACTTGATTAGGTTGCTCACTATATTACCCGGTTTCACTCCTCAGTCACTTGCCAGTTCGTTCTAGTCTCTAGGCCATTTTTTCTCCGTGCTGTCTCGTTTTTTTTTTTTGTTTTGTTTTTTTTTTGTATATTATTATTATTAT